TTTTGGAAAGTTTCCTTGGAAACTATCTCTTCTTCCTCAAGAGCAAACCTTCATATTTTTCATCTTTGAGTTTTCCAAATTGATTTTTCGAAAACTGCATTTGAAATATGAAAACCTCATCTTGCTAGATCAAACACTCTCTCATATATATTTAGGTCAGATTCAAGATTGATTTCTTCAAGAGTATGGTTTCTTGAAGAAATTGGTCATTCTCCCTTGAATCCAAATTTTGGTTTCGGTCTGAGTTGGAGCTTGCAAGCTAGTGCCATGAGATGAACGAGCTAGAGAAGGAGCTGCCATTGCCATGAAGAACTGAGCTTCAAGCTTTGCTAAGTTGGAGAAGAAGATTGCACGAAGGAGGTATAGCTCATCTTCCTAAATAGATCTAGGTGTTGCTTGAGCTTGCTTGTATTCCTTTGTAAGAATCTTTTTCTACTTACTAGATTGCCTGATCGATTGATGACCTCCAGTTTTTCCCAATGGTGGGTTTCTGGGTGAACAAAATCTGGTTTGCATATCTGTAATTTTTCTGGGTTTGTGTTCTTGGTAATTGACTAGTCATCATTATCTGCTGTTTGGTATTTACTTGATTATAATGTTTTCACACACTTACACCATAGTTGTTGCTAGCACAGGGGATGCCTAGATTGATGGGTCCTTCTGAGTGCCTAGGTTGTCACTAGTACTTTTCTAGTGTTGCAGGTACATTGTGGCATGCTCTGTGTGCATTCTTGATTGTGGTTGTGTTTGTGTGATTTAAATTTACCCCTCTTCACCTAAGTACCATTTTCAATTGGTATCAGAGCTTCAGCTCTTCACACAAATAGAGAGATCCTAGGATTTGTTTTGGTGTTTAGGTGTGCTCACTATGGAAAGGGATCGAGTTGCTGGATCGTGCAACTCTCCTCCGTACTTTGACGAAAACAACTACGCTGCATGGAGAAAAAAAATTGAGATATTCCTTGATGCCCTTGATGAGTATGCAAGTGAGTGTTGAGGCCCAAAAATCCAAGGGCTAGGCCCAAGCGTATTCTTGGCCCGGTACAAATAATTGGTCGTAAAGGAAACCCGATCGGGGCATAAAGAGAAAGTGTAGGACGCACCTACCTAAGCCGTGGGTTATGTGTCACGCCAAGCAAGCATGCAACGGCTTTATAATTCACACTCATTTGATGCTATTTGATCCAATCACAGGCTTATTATAGCATGATAAAACTCAAGCGCAAGCACGATAAATAAACACGCCATGCCATCAAGCCATGCTACGAGCTCAAGTGGGCCTAAGCCACGTAATTACCTGGGGCTTGCTGAGAAGGTTGTGGCATGGATGGGTACGAGCACTCACGAGGCCCATTGAGGGACCGAGGAATGGAAGTTTTAGGCCACCTAGGAGGCACTAAAACTCAAGCCCATTCCCCGGGCCCAAATACATGGGTTAGCATGAGAGAGGAGAAAAATGAGGTCCAATGCCTTAGGAGAACATCCCATAGACTGCTGTAGCACTTAGGCAAACCCACATCAGTAAAAGCCCAAAATGAAAACAAATAGGTTGTTCCCAGCAGCTTCACAAAAACCCATTGGATGCTGGAAATAGCATGCCAAAGCCCAGCCCAACGCTTTATAAAAAAACCAGCCCCGTGTTCCACTCTTGTCAGGACTCCAATTTGGTCAACGAGGAGCCATGGCAGGGACCGAAGGAAATCTGTGTATATCAAAGGAATACCCACTGGACAAACAACTTCTCCCATCCTCTCTTTCCCTCTGCGAGCTCTAGTTTGAAAACCGAGGGAGAAAGCAGGTGGCGCCTCACCCCCATGGGGAGGCCCAGCTGTATAGAAAACCTTGGAATTCAAAGGAGCCTGCACTCTGATGGAGGAGGTTTCACCAAAAGGAATGAATGGAAAGAAGCGAAGGAAAATGTGGGGATGGAAGATCATAGAACTAGGGTACCAAGTGCCTATAAAAGAAAGCTCCCTCTACCCAGCAAAACACACCATTCCACAGCACGACCAAGCTTTGTCAAGCGCACTGGAATTTACTCTAGACACCCCATCTTTATTTCCATCGTTTTCTCTCTCTTTCCGAGATAGAAATCCTCCTAATTTTTCCCTTTCTTTTCTGCTGAAGAAACTCATGCTTTGATCTCTCTCTCTCTCAAATTGCTAAACTCGTGAAGGCTTAGCTCCCATCCCACAAGCTCCTCAAGCCAAGTCACTAATAAATTCGTCACGTTCTTCTGGTTGTTGGTGAAAATAACCCAAACGTATTTTTTTTAAGGCTTTAGCAAGTCTTTTAAAAATTCTTTTGGGAGTTTGGTTCTTGAACTCAGGCATCAGGAGGTTTTGTTTGTTTTCTTCTTACAGCAGCCCAAGCCCATTCGTCAAGCTGCTGGAACAAAAAGACCCCTACAGTGAGTATCTCACAAAAGAGTGGGTTGCTCCAGTTAAGACTGTTGAGAGTGAAGTTGTGCCCAAGCCCAGGTCGGAATGGACTGAAGTTGAGGTGTTTGCTGCATATTCAAACAAGAAGGCCAGAAATGCCTTAGTTACAGCCTTGTCTAGCACACAGTTTTCACATATACAACACATCCCTAATGCTAAACAGGCTTGGGATAAACTAAGGGTAGTTCATGAAGGGGACGACCAAGTTAGAACCCTAAAACTTCATATGGTGCTTGCACAATTTGAAGAACTTAGGATGTCTGAAACTGAGTTTATCTCTGAGTTTCATGGGAGAGTTGAGATGATCACTAATGAAGCCATGAGTCAACCTATTGAAGAGCTTCTTGTTGTTCAGAAAATTCTTCGTGTTCTACCATCTAGGTTTAGAGCAAAGAAAACAGCAATCATGGGGGTCCAAAACTTAAATGAAATTAAGCTTGGCAAGCTTGTAGGAAAATTGAAAACATATGAGATGGAGTTGAATATGGAAGAAAATGACACTAAAAAATCAAACAATGTTGCACTTCAAGGAGTGCATGATTCATCTCTGAAAGGTGGTGAAAAACCCTCAATTTTTGAGGATGAGATGGCCTTGTTTGTCAAAAAATTTAGGAGAATTCTTAAGGATAAAGGAAAGTTTGCTAGAGAGGGCAGCTCTGGTAGTGAGAGACAATTTAGACCATCAACTGATCGGTCTAATGAGAGGAACAAGGATGTCAAACCTTTCACTAAAGATTTTAGAAAATCTGTCAAGTGCTTCACTTGTGGAGGCATTGGGCACTATGCTGCCGACTGCGCAAACAATCAGAAAAAATACTCCAAAGGAAAGGACAAAGCCATGAAAGTGAGCTGGAGTGAGAATGAGAGTGATGTATCTCAAGAGGATTCATCTTCCTCTGATGATGATGACCAACAAGTTGCCTTTGTTGCCTCTGTGCAGCTGGTGTCTGATGAATCTGCTTCTGAGTCAGATGACCTGTCATACGAGTCATTAGGAAGAAAATATGATTGCTTGTTCAGAGAGACTTTTTCCTTGAAAGAAGAGAGTCTCAAACTTGAGGCCAATAACCAAGAACTTAAACATGAAATTCTCATCTTAAAAGAAACCGAAAAGGAGTTGAGTGACAAATTTGAGTCTCTAGAAAAAGAAATTGTTGCACTTGCGTCAATTAGGAGTAATCTTGAAACTCAAGTTAATGTGCTCAAGGAGAGTAACATCGGGTTCCAGAACTCAAACAAACTGCTCCTAGGTGAATTGAATGAAGCAAAAAGTAAGGTTATATCTATGACCATTGGTGCCTCAAAAATTGACAAAATGTTGAATATGGGAAAACTTCGAGGGGACAAAGGTGGTCTTGGATTTGATCTTTTTGATTCTAGGTCGTCTAGCTCTACCTCTAAGTTTGTCAAGTCAAAAACTCCAGCCATTGCTCCTCTTGATGTTCAGCAGGTAGTCAAGAAACCTAAGTTTGTTCCAACTTGTTACAGGTGTGGGTTGACTGGTCATATTCGACCAGTCTGTCATATGTACCAAAAGGATAAGACCAGAAAATTGTCTTCAAAATCTAAAAGGAATCCCAGATCTTTGCAAGATCAGGTTGATCATTTGCTAAATGAAGTCACTAAGATTGCCAAACTTGTCTCCCTTAAAATGAGTTCACCCATTGTGCCTAAGTCTACTTGGATTGCAAAAGGTCATACCAAATGTCTTGTTGTGCTAAATGCTTTTGCTGCTTCAAACACCAACTCTTGGTACTTTGATAGTGGTTGTTCCAAACATATGTCTGGTGATAAGAGTGTCTTCTCATCCCTCACCCCTTTTGATGGAGGCACTGTGACTTTTGATGGAGGTCACAAGTCTCAAGTTGTTGGAAAAGGTACTGTTTGTATCCCTGGATTACCTGAGCTTAAGAATGTTAGATTTGTTGAGGGTCTCATATCAAATCTCATTAGTGTGAGTCAGCTGTGTGATGATGGAGTAGTAGAAGTTAGATTCTCCAAGCATGGCTGCAAAATCATTGGAAAAGGTGGCAATGAGATTGTGAGCGTGGCAAGGTCTAGAGACAATTGCTATTGCATTGATGGGGTCAATGATGCAAAAGTAGTTTGCAATAAGGTTGTGAATAAAACAAGTGTCTTGTGGCATCAAAGGCTTGGACATATGAACTTTAGAGACTTGCATAAATTGTCCAAGAAAGAATTAGTGAGTGGTCTACCAAAGCTTGACAAAACTGATCAACATATTTGTGAAGGATGTCAATTGGGCAAACAAATTAGAGTGTCACACAAAAAGGTCAAACACATTCAAACCAAAGTATGTCTAGAACTTGTTCACATGGATCTTGTTGGCCCCATTCAAACCTTGTCCATTGGTGGCAAGAAATATATTCTGGTCATTGTTGATGATTTCTCTAGGTACACTTAGGTCTCATTCTTACGTGAGAAATCTGACACATTTCAAAGGTTTAAATCTGTCTGTCATCTTTTGCAAAAAGAGAAGATGACTAGTCATCTGCCTCTTGTTAGAATTAGAACAGACCATGGTTCTGAATTTGAGAATTCTCAATTTCTGAAATTTTGTGAAGAGATGGGAATTAAGCATGAGTTCTCTGCACCTATTACACCTCAGCAAAATGGTGTTGTGGAGAGAAAGAATAGAGTCCTTGTTGAGATGGCTAGGGTGATGCTCAACAGCAAAAATCTTGCTAAACACTTTTGGGCTGAAGCTGTAAATACAGCTTGTTACATCTCAAATAGGGTATTTTTGAGGTCTGGTACCAAACAAACACCCTATGAGATTTGGAAAGGAAAGAAGCCTAATGTTTCATATTTTAGATTCTTTGGTAGCACATGCTATATTCTGAGAGATAGGGAGCATCTTGCTAAGTTTGATTCTAAGTGTGATAAGGGAATATTTCTTGGCTATTCCACTTCAAGCCGAGCCTATAGAGTGTACAACTGCAAGACCAGAACTATCATTGAGTCCATAAATGTCAATATTGATGATTTTGCTGCCTCTACTGAGATGGCATTAGATGAGGATGGTCTTTTTCCTCCTCCTCCTCTCATGCAAGATCTCCAGGTCTGGATCTTGTGGTTGACCTGTCAACTCCTTCAACCTCTAGTTCCATCTCATCTGTCCAGGTTGCCAGCTCCCATGCTGATCACAGTCCTCTCACTCGAACTGAGAGTGTCATTATTGGTCCTCTTAATCAAGGAGTGAGAACTAGGAAACAAATAGCTCAAGAAATTAGCCATGTGTGTTATGTCTCAAAGGAAGAGCCGAAAAATGTGAAAGAAGCCTTGCACCATGGTGAGTGGTTTCTTGCAATGCAGGAGGAATTAAATCAATTTGTCAGAAATGATGTTTGGTACCTTGTCCCTAGACCAGTCAACACTAATGTTATAGGTACTAAGTGGATTTTCAAAAATAAAACTGATGAACAAGGTAATGTGGTAAGAAACAAGGCTAGATTGGTTGCTCAAGGATACACTCAAATGGAAGGCATTGACTTTGATGAAACTTTTGCCCCTATTGCAAGATTAGAATCTGTTAGATTACTTCTTGCCATTGCTTGTCACTTGAAATTCAAACTTTATCAAATGGATGTCAAAACTGCCTTTTTGAATGGTATCCTAAATGAAGAAGTCTATGTTGAGCAACCAAAGGGTTTTGAAGATCCATATCATCCAAATGATGTGTTTCGGTTAAAAAAGGCCCTCTATGGTTTGAAACAAGCGCCTAGAGCATGGTATGAGAGGTTATCCTCTCATCTTCTAGGAAATGGCTATGTTAGAGGGTCAGTTGACAAAACTTTGTTTGTAAAAAGGTACAAAAGAGATATCTTGATTGCTCAAGTGTATGTTGATGATATTGTGGTTGGTTCTACCTCTGACTTGCATGTTCAAGAGTTTATTCATGTCATGACTAGTGAATTTGAAATGAGTCTTGTAGGTGAGCTTAACTATTTCTTAGGTCTTCAAATCAAACAAAGCCATGATGGGATCTTTATATCTCAATCAAAATATGCAAAAAAGCTTGTGAAAAAATTTGGTTTGGATGCTGCAAAATCTGCAAGAACTCCAATGAGCACTAGTGCTAAAATTCATAAAGACTTACATGGTAAAAGTGTGGATCAAACTCTCTATAGAGCATGATAGGAAGTCTTCTCTACTTGACTGCTAGTAGACCAGACATTTCTTTTAGTGTTGGGGTGTGTGCTAGGTTTCAAAGTGACCCAAAAAAGTCTCACTTGTTTGCTGTTAAGAGAATCATAAAATATGTGAGTGGGACTGTTAAGTTTGGATTGTGGTATACCTATGACACTTGTGCCACTCTTGTTGGGTATAGTGATGCCGATTGGGCAAGTTGTAGAGATGATAGGAAAAGCACTTCCGAGGGGGTCTTTTATGTAGGCAACAACCTGGTTGCTTGGCATAGTAAAAAACAGAACTCTGTCTCCTTATCCACTGCTGAAGCAGAGTATGTTGCAGCTGGGAGTTGCTGCACTCAACTCCTTTGAATGAGACAAATGTTGGATGACTATGGTCTTGCTCAATCAAGCTTTCTAATCTATTGTGACAACATGAGTGCCATAGATATTTCTAAAAATCCTGTTCAACACTCTAGGACTAAGCATATAGACATTAGGCATCATTTTATTAGAGATCTTGTGGAAGACAAAATTTTAACCTTAGAGTTTGTTCCTTCTGAGAAACAACTTGCAGACATACTCACCAAGGCCTTGGACTTTCAGAAACATGTCACACTTAGACAGTCAATTTTCGTTTGCTCAATTGATTGATTAGCGTGTCTGTTCCTTGTCTTCAGCACATTCTTGAAATTGATATGCCACTGTTCATATCTCTCCTCTCTGATGGTGTGAAGATTGAATGCTTTTGTGCTTTGTCTGACTTGTGCATAATCCTTTTTCTTGTTTAAGAGCTGTTAGATGAGACTTCAATCGTGCTATCTTGTCCTCTTGGTGAGCCAAGTATCCATGCTTCATTTTGGACTGTCTTTGTTATTGTCTCTTAGCTTATCTCACTCTCTTAGCCAATCTATTTAAAATAAAACAAAAAAACAAAAAAGGGAAGTGTGACCAATGTAGTCACGGCTCTAGGAAGGTATAAGGTGATATGATTGAAGCATCTAGAGCAAAGAGCTGTAAAATTGGGCCATTCAAGCACTTATGTCTGGGATGTGCAAGTACCACAAAGTAAATCATCAAATATTTTGTCAATAGAGAGTGATGATATTTTAACTTTGAGCCCTTACTCTGATCATGTCATAAAATTGCATTGCATAAGTGCCTCTCCAAGAGAGATAAGGTTTCATCTCTTGTGTCCCTTGGCTCTAAACCTCCTTATTCCTGAATATGCCTTGTCTTTAAGCATGAAATGCACTTCATATTCTATCTCTCTGAGTTGTCTATCAATGTGCACTGCATATGGATCTATCCTTTAATTCATTTTCTTTCATGTGCTTGAAGACTTGGTCTAGGATATTGTGCTAATGCATCTTTGATCCCTTGAGATATTTGCTAGTTCATGCTTGTGTTTTTAAAGCCAAAACCATGTCTTTCACAAGGTCGATACAATATTTGATGCCTTTTATGATGTTGCTTTAGTTGCCTAGTCAACATATGTTCATGCTAATTGTGGTTGACTAGTCATCTGGTCCTCTTCTTCTTCTTTTTCCAGCTTAGCGGTTTTTTTTTTTTTTTTTTTGCGTTTTTTTTTTTTTTGGTTTTTAGCGGTTCCTT